GCGGGCGGGGGGGGAGCCGCCCGTCCGCGTCCCTGCGCCGGCCTTCAGAGCGGCTCCCGGGAACGCGGGGCAGGAGATGGTCCGGCTGTGTACCCTGACTCGCTATCTCCGTGTATGTCGAGTACTGCTGCAGTTTTCCCCTCTGCAAGCTGTCTGGAGAGCCTCTGATGCCCAGGCATCCCAGATTTTCCCTTTTTCCCTGATGTTTCCTCCTATATAGAGGAGTTTTCCCCAGAGGAGGGGATTTTCTGAAGTGTTTTAGGCATCAGTAGACTCGTGTTGCTGAGATGCAGTCCCAGAGAGCCCGCTGGGCTAGTAAACCTGGTGCCCCTTTCTGTAACCAGCAGCTCGGGAAAAGCAATACAGCAAACCCTATCTGTCCGCTTTTCTCCAGTCCAAGTGATCAGGAGCCTGTTTACAGCCCAGCTGGCCCTAAGCGGCCCTTGGGAGGGGCTGGAGTGGGGTTTAGCCTCAGCAGCTGATCCAGAGCAAGGAGCAAAGATTTGCCCCCTTTGGATTCCACGTGGCAGTTAGGCCTCTGCTGCTGTCTTTTCCCACCTTAATATGAACATGCTTTTCTCTGCTTTTTTCCCTGCAAAGGTTGAAAAGTCACACTCCATCCTATTGCGATGAGTCCCTGTTTGGCACCAAGCCTGAGGATCCGTCCTGGGCAGCTTCTTGGATGAAGAGAGAAGATGTAGCCAAACTTCGTCCACTGCTCTGGAGCCCGTCATCCGCCCCCCGAAACCAGTCAAGCCTTTCCTCCCGCTCCAAGGAGACGCCCTTGAGGGCTGTCCACCCACGAGCCTCAGCATCGCCAGCGCTAGCAAACCTTGGCACAGATCATAAGGGCGAGTCTTACATCTGGAAACGGCCTGAGAGCAATTCGGACTCTGAAGGCCGGAGTGCTCCCAACAGAGGACGTTCTCAGTCTCTCACTCGGCTGAACGCCTCTCCGGATAGCCTCCGACTGGCTTCAGGCAACCCCAAGACAGAAAAGCATAAAAATCAGTGCCCCTCAACAGCCCCTGCAACACCCCGAGGTCCTCTGATGAGGGTTCGGTCTAAGAGCGTGTCTGCACCTTGTTTTGCCAGGAACTCCAAGGCAGTGGGTATCTGCAAACCCAGGCCTCCCTGGAAGTAAAATGAACGTCCCTTTGTATGTAAATGCACCCCTAACCTACCCACGACAGGGGTCTGACACCCATTGAGCAAACAAGGGAAGGAGCTGTCAGGGAGCAGCGAGAAGGGGACTGCTCCACGAGGGAGGACGAGCCAGGAGCTGAGAGTGACCACAGCATCAACGCGGCAGTGAGTGACCTCCCTGAGCGGGGTACAGTCCCATGGCACCCAAGCAGGACAGCCGTGGCAGTAATAACAGCTTTCATTGCCTGTCCAGGGATCATCAGATGAGGTGAGGTAATGAGTCAGGTTGCTTCCGTCCAGGACGTCCAGTCAGGACAGCCAGGAGACAGGACTACCGACAGCATAGGTGCAGGGCCCAGCCAGGAGACAGGACCGGACACAGGTACACCTACAGTGTAGCCCAGAGTAAGATGGGGGGCTGGGACCGAGCGCAAATGGGGCTCCTGGACCGTGGAGCAGAGGGTGCCTGGGTAGAGGTCCCAGGTGAGGCTGGCCAGGGCAGGTAAGGTCTGTTGGTGCGCTCAGAGCCCTGACAGGAACCTCCACTGTCCACTTCTGGGGAGAGAGGAGTTTGGCTTCATCCTGCCTGTCACATGCAGTCACAGCCTCATTCGGGTTGGACGGCACCGCAGGAGGTCTCTAATCTGAACTGCTCGGGGCAGGGTCAGCTCTGGGGTCGGACCAGGTTGCTCAGGGCTTTATCCAGTTGGGTCTTGGAGACCGCCAAGGACTGAGACTGCATGATGTTTCCGGCACCCTGTTCCAATGCTTCAGTGTCCTTGCAATGAAAAAATTTTCCCTTGTAACCAGCCAGAGCCTTTCTTGCCTCAATTTTGGTCTATTCTCTCACTCTCCTGCCAAACACCTTAGCAAAGAACCTGGCACTATCTTCTTGGTAACCTCTTTGTGGGTGCTGCTGTGAGATCCCCCGCGAAACTTTCATTCTCCAGGTTGAACAAGATGGTTTTACTTGCAGCCTCTGATCATGGGGCACGTGCTCCAGTCCCTGACCATCTTGGTGGCTCTCTGCTGGACTCGCTCCAGTTTATCAACGTTTTAGTGATACCCTTTGGCCAAGGAAGGAGACGGGAGAGCGAGCAGAGAGGTGAGGAATGGCATCGCCCTATGTCCTTCTCGCAGTGGGATGCTCTTAGAGTGGATGGGTTTGCGTGGCAGAGCAAGGATCTGCCTCGGTGATTTCAGCAGTTGCTTGGGATTGGGCCTTGCTGACTGGACACAAAAATCCTGTGATTGATACTGAACGCTGTGAGGTGCTGTCACAGCGATGCTACGCTTGCATACAAATAAATGATCAAAGGCAAATCTGCTGGGGCCTTGTGTGTGGTGCGTGGAGCCCTGCTATGTGATCTTGGCCTCATGGTGAGTTCAGGCCTTGGGCACAGCTAATATCCTCAAAGACTGTCTTAGCAAAACGGATCCTCGATTTCCATTTCTTAGGTGAGAAAGAACAACTCAGTCCTGTTTCTTTAGGTGCCCCTTTATGAACAGAGGTAGGGAGACAGATGAACGACTCAGGCCGGGTGACTTGGGATATGCAGCTGGGGTTGCTGCTCTCTTATGGGAAAGGAGGCTGCAGTGCTGAGCCACTGAAGCCGGAAAATGTAGAGGAATCACTGGGAATCAGGCCTAAAAAACGCTGCTTGCCTCTGGCCTTGCTTAACGCAAAGAATATGTGAGAGGAGGTGCCTGGGCCATGTTGGCCCTTGTGGTAACACATAACACAGCCTGGTTTCCCAAGAAAATGAAACATGTATGACACCGTACTCTGTGTGTGTGAATCGATGTCTGATTTCAGCCCTATCTGGGAGAGGAATAAAGGGCTCCATGATATCAAAGTGTTACAAGGTTAAGAAAACAAAATACTTTAGTTGCTCCCTGGCTTAGGGAGTGATTTGTAGGACTGGGAGCAGAGTCCAAGCTGGGCTGTGCCACATCCCACCCTTCCCACTGCCCTGACTGCAAACTGTCAGGATGGCGCCCAGTCAGGGTTTGGCTGGGGACTGGGGAGAGGAAGGGGTCCCGGTCAGGGTCCTTGCGGAGCGGGTGCTGTGGTGCTCTGTTTGCTTGGAACCACGTCAGGGGAACAGGATATCCCAGCCTCTTCCTCACTGAAAAGCAATGAAGTCCTGCAGCTTCCTCCCGTGCCAAGGAAGAAGTTCTCTCAAATACACCCAAGGAGAAACCGAGTCAGATTAAGGGTATCATCCTGTCCCAGGAATTATTTTATTGCAACCTTTAGTAACAGCAGGACTGGGCCTTGACTCACACAAGCACATTAAGGACACGGGGACTGAAGCGAGGGAGACCTGCCAGGAATCTGCACTCCTGGTCCTTTGGCAAGAGATGCCCTCTTCTGAGTGGCAATGGGCTCGACCTGAAACAGTGAGACATATTGCACCGCTGCTCTGACATACCCTCTACCTGAGAGCCAGCCCTGGCTCCAGGAGCCTTGAGCCTTAGTGCAAAAGCTCTCTCAACTAATAATGCTTGTAATCTGGGGGAGCTGAGCCCCAGGGGAGCCAGTGGACTTGCTGGGAGGAGAGAAGAGAGGAGAGAGAATGGGTTTCATGCTTATTTCTTGTCCTTGCCCTCTGCCGTCTTTGCCTTCAACTTGAGGAGTGTCTGGACCGAGCAGCGTTTCTGGATGCAGATGGCAATACTGATCATCATGGCCATCTCCCTCATGTCCCACTTGTTCTTCTCCTGCTGTATCCTGTGCTACTCCTCAGTCTGGGAATACTAGGTAAGTGCAGCATATTTCTTCTTCAGGGCCAGCTGGGCCTTCTCCTTTGTGTAGATGGCAGGAAGTGTCTCTCACTCAGCCTGGCAAGACAGCAGACACCAGTTACTGCAAGCCTGAGGGCCTTCCACAGGTCCTCCCTGTAAATCCTTGGGGAGGGATCTTTTTCACCTATCCCAGATCCAGGTAGAACTACCACTGGCTACTAATCTGAGCCTTTCTAAAGGGACCAAAAAAGGAAACCTGCCTGGATAGGAATTTCAAGACATGCCAGATCCTAATATTTTCATGCTCCTTTGAAAAATCCCTCCTTAGCTTTTCCTGCTTTGCAAACAGCATCCATCCTCAGATGAGGACCCTGAGCAGGTAACACACATGCAGGTCAGAGCCTGCTTTGCCAGCGCTTGGAATAGAAAGCCGCATCTCTGCAGTTAGGAGGGGGGTGAGCATGAGCTAGCAGCTTTGCTAAGAAGCAGGTTATATCAGAGCAGCACTGAAGGCCAGCTAACACATAAACGGTGGGGAGTGTGGGAAGAGCCAGGCCATGGCAGCCTGCAGAAGGCCAAAGATAGGTAGTTTTGGTGGCACTCATCAGTAGTTTATTCCTTTCCTAATACACTGAAGTGAGCCATGTGGAGGGGAACCAGCAGTGTGGATATGTGCCTGCTTTAACAAGTTCTGCCCTGACCCCGCTGGTGCTCGGTGCTCCAGCCGTCCTGGCAGATAGGAAGCCAAAAACCTCTGATGTTATTAAAAACCTGACAAGGTGAGGATCTTTACTTACAATTAGCTGCAAACTTTCAGGACCCTCCTACATTTTGCTTTGCTGGTAATCCAGCAGCTTTTCTTCATCTGGTTAAAAACTGTAGGGACATGAAAGCAATTAGAGCCTTCTCAGAGGAGGCGTTAGGGGTGATGACGTGAGTCTAAGCCCTTTAAGCTTAATTTGGATGTCAGGACAGTGACATGCAAGCTGTTAAATCTGCAGGTCTCTCAAGTGAGCAGGGAGAGAAACAGAAGCATTGTTTGGACACTAGATGGAGACAGCAGGGTTGAGGATTGACACAAAGTGAGAGCCCTGTTCCCTAACAGCAGGTGGATGCGTCTGACCAAACGAGGTAGCTCATCAGCTCCCAGTGACTGGGATTTAGCAACTGATGTAACCTTCCATAAAGCAAAAACAGCAGAGAACCACCTGACGCACAGGCAGGACAAAGAGACAAAGATACCTTCCCTTGCAAAACCTGTACTTCTGGGTGGGGGTTGCCCCTCACTGCCATGTCCTCCTGTATGTGAGCTGCAGGTCTGTTTGGACAGGGATCTATTTGGGTTCACCATCTTGTAGGAGCTGGCTCTAAGCCCAAGCAGCCCAGTCCCTGAAATGGGGGATTTTGTTTGAGGCCCTGAATCTGGTTTTAAAAAGCATTTCTGCAACTTCCTCTTTAGGATCTGCAAAAAAGTGTATTTTTTAGTTTACCAGAATTTTTCTCCAGTGACTCTTTCTTCGACTGGCAAACATATTCCCACAGTATCCTGTGCCTTCACCTTGAGCCTGGGTTGTGGCTGCCTGTAAAGTTGTGATCGTTTTGGTGTTTTCTCAGTCCCTCTGAGGGAGATTTCTTCCACCAGCTAAATCTTTTCTTACCCCTGAACTCCCCGAAGGCTTTCATAACACTTCAGCTGATGAACCTCTGGCCCAGGCTTCACCTTCCCCCCGACAAAGTGCAAGGTTGGCCCGCAAGAGTCTCAGGAGATCCCTGGCAGAACTTTTCAGGCCTTGCTCCAGCAAGCAAGGGTGCTCCCTTTGCTCCCTCGCTGGCAGGGCACCCTCTTTTTCTTTTTTTTTTTGCATTACGAGATTTTTTTTTTCCTGTTCTTGAAGCACAGCAAGGAGGCGTTTGGCAGCTCCTGGTGCTCGCTCGGGGCGCTTGTGACCCCGGGTGCCTGCGTATCCGCAAACCTGCCCAGCGCCCCTCCGACCGGAGAAACCCTGCCCTGCCCCGGGAGGGCTGCAGCTGCCCTGGCCTCAAGAGTTACCACGTTTTGACCGGGGCGGGGGGAACTAAAGGCGCCTCCTCCGGGGCTG